CTCACCCTTGAGAAGCCGGAGCAATCATGTACAGACAGTTACCATAGCCTGCAATATAATAGACGTTTTGAGAGCTCAAGTGAGATTTACAATGGCTTTACAATTACTCTATAGATATATTTGGAAAGCGTATGTATGCAAATACTTACTAGGGTCCTTGTCCACTTCAACGCTGACTCCTCCAAAGCTGCAATCTAAGCTACTTGCTCCACTCTGCTGGTAATAGGTGTTGAATGCATACGATGCATGTGAGAGGACAGTATCTGGCTCAAAGCAAGGTTGGTTTGGTTGAACAGCGGAACAATCAACATTCCCAGGTCCGCAAGCCCAGTCTAACGCGGTCTGCAATTCGGTCACCGAAGCTTGCGATGAAGCAATGCACCATTTCTTGGTTCCGCCTCCTCCTCCGATGGTTACAGAGGAGTTATTGTTGTTACCCGGACTCGAGCTTGGACTAGGACTCGTACCTGTGGTTGAATTTGTTGGAGAAACAGGGGTAGCGTTTTCCCCGGTGAAGTCTAACGCATAAACATCTGTTCCGTTCGCGTAGAACATTCCCCAGTTCCTTTCGGATTCTATCCCGGGCTTCCTGTTCTCATTGAACAATGAGAATAAGTACACATCTATCTCTTCCCCAGGCTTTGCAGGAGTACCTAACCAAAGAAAACAAATCAGTTTATCAAGTCTTTCCATTTATCTATGTATCTAAAGATCATCACTTTGGATCAGAAAAAGATTACCTGGATCGCCAATGACATGGCGGATGAGGTTGGTATTGTAAGCCAGAGCGTTCTCAGGAGTTGCAGCCGTCTCTTTAGGGGAGCCTTTGCTCGGCCAACCTGACTCAGTGACCATAACCTTAATGGTCTTAAAGCTCATAGCCGTCAAGGCGAAGTAGATAGCGTCAAGCTGAGCATCAAACATGTTGGAGTAAAGCAAACCCGTGGCAGGGTCAACAACCTGCGAAGATGACTCAAATAGAGCATACTCCAACGGAACCTTTTCAGCAGAATCTCTGTAAGCATAATACGGATACAAGTCGATCATAAAGGGAGAGTCGTTCTCAACCAAGAACTCAAGCATTGGTTTCAAGAAAGCTGAGTGCTTTTTGTTGAAAGAAGCCGATGAAGGCGGAAACGAGCGTGACAAGATAGCAAGGGAATGTGAGCTCGAGATCTTGATCTTTTTATCCAAACCGGATTTCTTAAGAGCGGTGTGAATGTTTCGCATCGCAGGTAAGACTAGACCAGTGGCATTGTCTGGTGCTTCAGTTACTTCAAGACCAACTGAAATCGAAGTAATTTTAGTAGCTGGGTAATAAGGGAGGATGTTGTTGCTAAGCCAAGTATCTACATTGGATTGGAACTGAGCAAATGCGAGTAGATCAGCGTTAGGGACACCGATCATAAGCTCGATTCCCGTGTTTGCAAAAGCTTTAAGAACGTCGATGTTGGCATCATAGATTCGGACAAATTTGATGTTGAGATGTTGGATTAGCTCAGATACTTTATTAGGACTTGGAAGATTATCAGCATTTCTTCCATAACATATCCCTATCTTGCTTGCCATACCAAAATCTGCAACAATATCAACATCAGACTTCTTCTAAAATCCCAAAACCAACTCTAAAAATGTCGGTTCCAAACAACCTAGAGTAGTTCAAAGCTAACAGATTCGAGATTTTCAGACAAGAACTACAGTGTAGCAGAGTTGAAACCCAGAACACAAAGAAAAGCACCAAACTTTGAACATTTAGAAGACGAAATAAAGAAACCCAGAAGAGTAAAAATCATAAATGCAGAGGCAAAGATAGTAATGGAAGATACCCAAAAGAGGAATTTGACTAAAGACATACCTAGAAAGGCAAGAATTGAGACACAAATCCATAAGATTAACTTCAATCTTTTGCCCATTTCCTTCTTTCTAAGACAAAAAAAAACTCCAAAGCTTTCAACTTTAACTGAAGTGAGTGTTCTTCTTCTCACTTAAACCCAGAAATGTAACGTCTTTCTCTCTGTGAAGAACACTTCAGTAAAGGAGCACAGAGTTCT